AAAAAAAAAAAAAAAAAAAAAAAAAGAACAGCATGTTCCATGCACAAGTAGCACTTGTATTGATAGCACATGTTTCGTTTTCCTGTCTTTGGTAAAACATGCCTACCATCTTGCTGGTCTTCCTATTTTCTTAGGAGGTTCTTGTGATGTTAACATCAGTATCTTCACTAGTCTGCTTCAGAATTCTTTTGTGGAGTTCTTTGGACTGATACATGTTGTCCTTCCTGTGTTTTAATTGATCATTTATAAATTCCAGTACCAATCCTCTAAAAAATTTTCTATTTGATATTTTGTGCTTGTTATTTTCTTTGTAAACTATGAATCCACTTGCTCCTGATGTTTAAGAATGAGTAAAACACAACCATTGGCCAATGCTTTGTGTTTTGAGTGACACCGTAGTTGCTCCATGGCTTATCAACGACATCTAACTGCAGCTAATTAACTCCATGTAACTCCGTCTACCATCTAACTCCCAACTTCTGAGGTGAAATGTGACTATTTCTGGCTTCATTTGAGGATTCACTATCAATGTTTGTTTGTTTGTAGCAGAATCTTGCTGCAAAGTCCAGGCTAGATGTTACTTACTGTGTAGCACAGGCTGACCTTGAACTCACAGGAGCCTTGCAAGTGCTGAGTTTACAGGTGTGCACCAACATGCCCAGCTTCATTAATAATCTTAGCATCATGGTGTAATGTTGACGGTATCAATAATTATTTTGTCTTTCATAGACATAGTGTAGTCCAAGTTAACCTGGAACTCACTGTGTAGCACAAGATGACCTTGAACACATAGGATCCTCCTTTCTCAGCCTCCTGAGCGCTGGCATTACAGGGATGCACCACCATACCTGGCTTCACTATCAGTCTTATCATCATGGTGTAATGTTAACAGTATCAACACTACTTTGTTTTTCTCTGCCATATAGGAGGCCAATGTTATGTATTTCTGAAATCCAAAGACTACTATACATTTCTCTATTGTCAACTTGCAACATTTCCAGGAAATTCAGATTTATTTTGGGGACTAGTTTCTATGCTGTGTTGTTTTAACAAATTTACCATCGGGGGTGACTAGTGAACCAGTTGTGGAATGTGACATTTGGGTTATTTTTTTGAAATTGGTGCAGAAAGTCTGTTCACAATGTCATATGGTTTATTACTGCACAAATAAAGTCCTGGTGGCTGAGTTCCAGAATAAATTTCTAAATCCAAGATGTAGAATGTCTGCATCTACCAGGGCATGTATTTTCACACCATATTTCGAAGGTTTCTTTGACATATATTGCTGAAATATTCAACAACCTTGAAATAATGGAAGTTGTTCATCAGTTGTTATGTATTCAAACCGTGTATAAATTCCTTGACAGTTTGAAACAAAGCTTAACAAAAATGGGTGAATAGCTGTCAAATTGTTGAATATTTTTCTTTCCTGGTCAGTCTTTCTGTCATCAAAATTTAGGCACTTTGGAAGGAAACCAAATCTCTTGATTGTCACTGATCTAAAAATCTCAGCACCACATCTATCACTTCTCCATAAATCCTTTAGATTCTCATAATTAGAATGATAAAGTCTTGGTACAGAAGCTTTTAGTTCAGATAATAAAGTGTCATGATAAATATATTTTTGAGTATTACTCTTGATACATATAGAATGTTTTACTTGTATTTCATTATTAGTGTGTCTGAAAACATCTGATAGCATATCATCCATTACTAACAATTTCCAACATTGAATCACAGTGTTGGTATTCCATCCAGCAGGTTTCACCCCTGGCAAGAACCTAATAACATTTTCTGACCTAGTTTTAACATTGAATCTTTGAGGTTATATATGACCGTTTGTAGCATTTTGACTAGTCAAATATTTATTTACATTACTGTTTTATTCCTCATCTGAATCAAGGTCTTCATTTTACATTTCTCTGTCATGTCTTCCTAACTTCTTTTGCTTACACGACTCAAGTCATCATTCGTAGCAGACTCACCTGAAGACTAACTTTCTCCATCCTTTCAAAGGTGTAAAAGCAGATTTTCATATAACATTGTACCGAATTGGACTAATTCTGCAAGAAAAAAAAAAAACTAAAGAAAACACTTAGTTTAAAAAATTATAAATATACAAAAATATAACTTGGCACATAATGTGAGTAAAGCTCACATTGCCATTCATCATACCAAGTGCTTGAACACAGATTGTTTCCCAGCACAGCTCCTGAGATACACAGCTGCCTACCATTATGCTAAAGTTTATATTTTCATTAGAAAATTATGGTATGGGCCTCTGTGACCCTGAGTGAGGAACCTAGGGATCTGGGTTGGAATTTATTTGCTCCTAGAGCTTAAAATACGTCACTGCAAACTCTTCTGGACCTCAGGGTTTGTGCTAAGAAGTCTGCTGTGATTCTAGTTGGTTTACCTTTACACATCATTTTTAAAAATTTCCTCTGGCAGCCTTTAAAAATTTGTGGCTTTTGTTGTTGTTGTTGGTTTGTTTTGGTTTTTTTGCTAGATACCTGGTAGGTTAGTAAGGATATACCTTGGTGAGATTCTCCTTTCATAATTGTTTGGTATTTTATCAGCATCACTTACTTGTATTTAAACTCTTTTCTCATATTTAGGACATTTTCTTCCATGATTTCTCTAAGCATGCTAGTGAATCCATCTGTGCTACATTCCAGTTTTTCTCTAACTTATTAGCCTTATATTGGTCTTCTTGTGACATCTAGTAGCTGCTGGATAGGCTTCTCTTTTTCTTGCTTTCTTTTTGGCTTCTTTTGTCCACAGTATCAAACTGTCTTCACATTGACTATTTCTGCAATATGTGAATTCTGTTTAGTTTTTAAATTTCATGTATTTTTGTCTGACATCTTTTTGAGAATTCTACATTCTTGTTGCATCTGTCATTCAAATTTTGAACTGTTTTTAGTTAGCTCATTCAGCTTTTCATATCTTTCCCCACATTTATCATGGGTATATTGAGTGAAATTGCTGTGAATTTTTGTTCCTCTTTGAACTCATCTGTTTTCTTCATCTCTTCTAAGAACTTTCAATAGATTTCTGCTACTTATTATTTTGTTTACTTCTCCCTTTTCTACCCCCATGATTTGCCTTCAGAGATGTGGGGCTTTCAGAGATATTCTTTTTCCTCACTTCCCCATTCTTCTATGTGTATTTATGTAGATAGAGATACAGTTAGACAGAAGGACTCTTTCTTTGAAATTATATATGGCCCACTTTTTATCCTTTTTTTTTTTGTAGTATGTTACCTCCCTGTGAATTATTTTCCACTTTGTATGTGCAATACTAGTATTTTTTCCTTCTGTTATTTACTTGTAGTCATTTTGAATCTACTCCTCTGCTTTGCCAAAAGAGTTACTTACGTTTATAACAACATCCACTGATTCAATCTTATAACACTTACATCTGATAGACTTTGCAGTTACTTTTTTGGGGGGGTACTGGGGATCAAACTTATGACCTTGTGCTTACGAGGCAGGTGCCGTGCCACTGAGCTAAATCCCCGGCCCTCTTTGCAGTTACTTTTCTCCCACATTCTATTCTCTTTGTACACTGTGACAGTTTATTATTTGTTATTGCTGTCCCATGAGGTAAGTGAGATTTGGTGAGGAGAATGGATAGTGGTTGGATGAGTAATGTTAGGCACTAAGAGGGAAATTTCAAGAGGGTAGAGAGCTATATGAGAAGGAAAGTTTAATGTGGTTTTATTGAAGTACTTTTAGTTGAGTTGAAGTATTAGTATTGAGAATTTTCCGAAAATATTTTGTGGGAGTAAGGGCAAGATGTGGAAGAAAGGAAGTTTACTTTATGATGGAGGAAAGCCATGTGGGAATCAGGACTTGCCGACAGGGAGGACAATAAATTTGGTATGATATGGAAAAGCTTGGTACGATAGGATGGAAGGATTGAGGAATTATACTAGAGAAGACAGGAATGACTTTGAGGGGATGAAGTATGATTTAAAAAATGAGAGGTGGAGTTTATGTGTTTCAAAAAATAAATGTGTTAATTACTGTCTTGGGTATTTGAGGTGAAGGAACTAGATAGAGATGAAAGATAGGAGTTAAATCAGAGCCAATGAAAGAAAAATATGCAAAAGTAACAATCTAATAAACACAGAAAACAACAAGAGACTGTAACATAACCTCACATTACATAAATCGAGAAATATACAAAAATTTAAACAAATAAGATGTCTGATGGGAATACAGATTAACTATTCCAAGGAGATATCGCTTGTGTGATTCCCAGGTAGCTTCTTTGCGTGAGACCCTGGGTGCTCACACCCCAGTAACTCCTCTGACTCTCCACTGCAACACTAATGTTAACCCAATATTAGAACTCCTTTCTGCCAGGTAGAGTGTGATTCAGTTTGAGTTCTTGGATTAGGAACTCTTGTTGTCCCCTTCCCTGGATGTGATGGTGGATGTGGCAGACAGGTTCACCGTCACTTAAGGATCCGCATAGTTATAGTTATCATAGTTATTCCTGTGCAGCAGTAACAGGCAAATCTGCCACAGTGGCACCTATCAGGGTTACTTGAGAAATAACATACTATGAGACCCTGTTTTGGATTTTCCTCTGACCTAGAAAAGGAATCTACAGTTACAGTGTAACCATCATAACTGCCCACATCTTGACCCACAGTTAATGTGTGCAAACAGCATTAAGCAGTAAATTTATTGAATCTACTATCTAAAGCTCAAGGGTTTGGGGACTAGGTAATGCCAGAAAGGTGAAGAGAACAGAAATAAAGGTGGGTTTTTTTGTTGGTTTTTGTTTGTTTGTTTTTTTTTAAGGTCTTCTGCTCTGTGGTATGGAAAGGAGGAAATAGGAAGGGGATAAATGATCCTATTGATGGTAAGAGTATGTTATATATTTAGGAGGGAATAACAGGTAAGCCTGGGTGTAAAATTGGTAGTGAAAAATGGGGATAGGAAAAGATTCTATGATATAAATAATACAGGAAAAAGTTGCCATACTTGGTTCCAAATTCACATTCTCACAATCTGCCATTCTGTCCTCCCTTCCCTTATTTCCTGGAATACATCACAGGAACCAGGAAAACACTTATTTTTTGTTACCATTGAACAAGAAAAGAACCCAACACCAGTCCAATGGAAAAGGTGCACAACAGTATGTGGAGCAAGGATAGAGTGAGTTTTTAGAATAGACATCAGCATTTTCACATTAGCTGTTTACTTGCTTACAAAACATGAGATAACATCAGAAATCAAAACCTGTGTGAACTACAATGTAAACACAAACAAAAGTGCCACAGAAATAATCTTTGCTTTAACTGCCACAGCCAAGGCACTCTACACACATGGCAAGTGCATGTTCCATACACATATCTTGCTTACATTGCTAGAATGTATGTTTTGTTTTCCTGTTCTTTCTTGTATGGAACAGTTGACATATTTTTTGTTTTCCTATTGTCATAGCAGATCTTTGAGATGCTGCACCCGCCTGTTCCCGTTAGCTCAGCAGTATGTTCCACAAGTTTTTTGCATAATTCCCTGGGCAGAACATTTTGTTCTTCCTCTATTGTAAATGATCTTTTATGCGTTCCATCCCAGTACTCTAAGATCATATTTCTCTATATTTGCACTTGTTATTTGCTTTGTGAACTATCAAGCTATTTAGGCCACATGTATTTAGGATCAACATTACTTAAGTTTCTATCCCCTAAAAGCTCTGTGCAGACATAAATCAGCATAGAAATACTTAGGGAAACATATTTTACAGGTACATCGATTTTCCTACAAATGCCTCAAATTTGTTCTTTATAATTCAGTAGTATTCTATGACGTGTAGATGCCACATTTTCTTTATTCATTTGTCTGTTTATGGGGATATAGGCTGCTTCCAAGATTTAGGTATTATGAACTGTGCTGCTATAAACTTTGGTATGCACATGTCCCTGAACTATGAGGTCTTAAATTCTTTGGGGACGATAACTGGGAGGTGGATTGCTGGGTCATATGGAATTTCTAAGTTTAGATCTTTAAGGAATTTCTCTGTTGATTTACATACTGTTGGTAATAGTCCTACCAAAAATGTAGGAGAGTTCCTTTCTCACCACAGCCACAGCAACGTTATATTTTGATTTATTGATGATTGCCATTCTTTCTGGTATAAGATGGAACCTAGTATTGTTTTAATCTGCATTTCACTAATGACCAGGGATACTGAACATTTTTTCGTATGTTTGTTGGCCATTTGGATTTCTTCCCCCTGAGAAATATCTTTTTGATGTCTGATTTTTTTTATACCGGGGATCAAACTCAGGACCTTCTACTTGAGAGGCAGATGCTGAACCCTCAGCCTGCTTCTGAAATTTTTGATAGGGTCTTTTTTTAGGTGGTCTAGTTTTTGAGTTATTTATATAATGTAGAGATTAGTCCTCTCTCCGAAGAGTGGCTGGCAAACCTTTTGCCTATGCTGCCTTTTGTCTCTTCACTCTACTTAATGATTCCAGTGCTGTACTTGATATCATTTATTGACTTTTGCTGTTATTTCTTGTTCAGTTGGAGTTTCCATTTTTTAAAAAGTCCTTTCCTATGTTTATTCCAATATTTTACTGTTTTTCTTCCCATAGCTTTAGTGTTTTAGCTTTAATGTTTAGATCTTTGATATCCATTTTTATTTTGATTTACTACGTAGTAAATGATACAATTTCAATTTCAGTCTTTTGCAAAGAGATAACCAGTTTTCCTAGCATCACCTGTTGAATGGGCTGTTTCCTTCATCCTATGCTTTTGGCCCCTTTGTTAAAGATCAAATAGCTGAGTGTGTCTGAACTTGTTTCTTTATTCTCCATTCTGTTCCCCTGATCTACCTGACTTTTTTCCAGTACCATGACATTTTTATCACTATTGCTTTGTAGAATAGCTTGAAGTTAGGTATATTGCTGCCTCCTGCTTTGCTCTTATTGCCCATGATTGCTTTTGCTATTCTGCATCTCTTCTGTTTATATCCATATAAATGTAAGGATTGTTTTCTCTAGATCTGTAAAGTACTGTTTGGTTTTCAGGTTTTGATTGGGACTGCACTGAATCTGAATAACATTTTTCAGAGTACAACTTTTTTTTTGCACTGGGACTTGAACTTAGGACTCTGCACATGCCAGGCAGGTGCAGTGCCACTGAGCTGTGTCCCTGACCCTTATTTTTGGATTTTTTTTTTTGGTACCTTGCACTTGCGAGGTACGCAGCAGAACCACTGAGCTAAATCCTTGACCCAACTTTTGGGTTTTTGAGGCACAACCTTGCTATGCAGCCCAGACTGGCCTCAAACTCACATAAGACCATTTGCCTTAATCACCTGACTGCTGGGATTACAGGCATGTGCCACTGTGCTCCACAGGAGTATGATCATTTTGACAATATTGGTTTTGCCTATCCAGAAGCAGGGCACTTGTTTATATTTTCTTATGTCCTTTTAATCTCCCTTGACAGTACTGTAGTTTTCTTTGAGGAAGTCTTTCACTTCCTTGGCTAGGATAATTCCTTTAGTGGGTTTTGTTTGTTTGTTTGTTGTTTTTTTTTTTGGATGCTGTCATGAATGGTATTGTTTCATAGTATGCTTCTCATCAAGTTCATAATGGAGTACAAAAATGCTAATAACTTTGAGTTGCTTTTTTATCCTGCTACATTGTTGGAATTGATTATTCTAAGAATATTTTTAGTGGAGTGCTTTGTGCCTTCTATGTAGAGTATTATATGATCAGCAAATAATAGTAATTTGGCTTCTTTTTCTGTATACGATATACTGTATATCCCCCTTTTTTATTGTCTGATTGCTCTGACAAATGTTTTAAGTACTATGTTGGATATAAGTGGTGCTAGTGGGCATCCTTGAATTGTTACCAAGATTAGAGGGGATGCTTTTAATTTTTTCCCATTTAATATGATGTTGGCTATTGGTTTGTCATAAATAGCTTTTATCAAATTCAGGCATGGCCCTTCTATACCTAATTTCTTCTGAGTTTTTATCATGAAAGGATGTTTGGATTTTGTTGAATGCCTTTTATTGCAGCTTTTGATATGATCGCATGATTTGTGAGCTTGCTTCCATTCATGTGTTGTATTACATTTATTGATATATGTATATTGAGCCATCCTTGCATCTCTGGGATGAAACCTACTTAGTTTTGATGTATGATATTTTTTGATGACAGGCTGAATATATCTACCAATATCTTGTTGAGGAGTTTTGCTTATGTGTTTATTAGGGAGATTGGTGTATACTTTTCCTTTATAGTTGGTATTTTATCAGATTTGGGAAACAGTGATACTGGCTTCCATAAGTGAATATGGGAACACTCCATCCCTTTCCATTTCTTTGCAGAGCTTCCAGAGTATAGGTGTTACAACATTCTTCAAGGTTTTTTAGAATCCAACAATGAACCCATTGGGGACTGAGCTTCATTTACTTGTTATATTCTTTCTTTCTGTCTCTATTTCATGGCTTGTTATTTGGTTGTTCAGCATTTTTTTGTCTCTTGCTGAGTTAGCTTTGGTAATTTGTGTGAGTTTAGGAATCTGTCCAGTTCTTTAAAATTAGCCATGTTGATGAAATATTTTTCAAAGTAATTAGAATCTTCTTGATTTCAACAGCCTCTGTTATGACTTCTCTTTTTCACTTTTAATTGCATTATTATGAGTCTTTTCTCTTTTTCTCTTGGTAGTTCTGGCTAAGGATTTATCTATTTTGTTCTTTCTAAGAACTAGAAGCTCTTCAATTTGCAATATTTTGTATGTGCTTTAGTCTTTATAATTTCCCTCCTTAATTTTGCTTTTGACTGGGATTGGTATTTCTTGAGTATCTTAAGATTTCTCATAAGGTTGTGTATTTGAACAGTCTGTTTCCCTAATGTGAGCATTAGGATTGCAATGAACTTTCTTCTCTGGAGTGTTTCATAGTGCCCCAAGTTTTACAGTGATTTTTGTACAGGCATTACCATTAACTTTCAGGAATGTTTATATTTCTACCTTGATTTCTTGTATTACTGATTGGTTGTTTAGCATGTGATTAATTTTCCAGGTTCTTCCAGCTTTTCTCTGATTTCTTCTGTCATCGATTTCTATTTTCTTTTTTTTTTAAATTGAGTTTATTTGTACATTTTAGGTATACAGTACAGTTACATTCATTATTGGGATCTTGTACCTTTACATGACAGGTCTTGGTTCTCAGTTTTTCCCCTTGTCCCTGCCCTCCCTTCACCCCCTCCTCCCCTGATTTCTATTTTCATTCTGTGGTGCTCTCATAGTACATATAGGTGATTTTGATTCTTTTATTTATTTGAGCAGGCTTTGGTAACTCCTTTTTCTTTTCCTGTCATTTTTGTTGTTTATTAATTGACCTCGCTTATTGTTTTCATTTCATCTGGGTTTTTAGTTATACAGACACTAGTCATTTAATGACTAAGTTCTAGTCCTATGAGGAGTTCATTAAATAAATTGGTCACTAAATGAGAAACTGTATAGAGTATGTACATTACAATATTCAGAACAGAAATGGTCAAAGAAAACTCAAACTTGACTTTGCTTTTATTTGCATAACTCCTGCATACTGTACTGTACAGTACAGTCAGCAAAAATTACCAGCTTTTATAAAAGAAAGTTTACTATACAAAATAAAGATAGTGAGACTCCATCACTAAAATCTAAAGAACTGTACAGAAAGGGGGGGATCAGACTATAAAGCTGACCAGTGGGTTGTAAATGTTAACTGTATGTCTCTGTCATAAGTCTGACCAGTCACTAAAGAGGTAGTTTGTTAAATGAGTAATGTATGCATTAGAGATCATATTATCAAGTTAGATGAAAATGATTTCTTTTTCTGAAGAATACATATTGTCCAATAACCTTTATAGTACAACATCTACCACCAAATAAGTAGATTTGAGATATTTCATGTTGTGAATCTCATTCTTCTTCCTGGAAATATATTTCTGATGATTTAGAAGGCAGTGACCTTTGAGGATGTGGCCGTGAACTTCACCATGGAGGAGTGGGCTTTGTTGGATCCATCCCAGAAGAAGCTCCACAGAGATGTGATGTGGGAAAACTTTACAAATGTGACTGCTATAGGTAAGGAAGATATCTGTTCTCATTTATGCAGTCAGGGGACATTGCTTATTCCTCATCAGCACCATTTACTTTATTGAAATATGATAATATTTTTATGAATTTTCCAGGTATGGTCACATTATACCATTAGTTTAACTGGAAGCTAATTGTGTGATATAGTTACTCATCATTATGTTTCTTTTTCTACACTTTAGGAAGAAAGTATAATGATCAGCAAATTGAAGATGAGTACAAAAATTACTGGATAAATATAAGGTAATTTGCACTCACAACAATGATCCTTAAAGGTCAGAAATATTAAAACCAAACAAACTACACAAATGAGGACATGTTAAAAAGAAATACAAAGAGCCAGGCACAGTGGCATGTGCCGGTAGTCCCAGCACTTGGGTGACTTAGGCAGGAGGATTGCCAAGAGTTCGAGGTGAGCCTCTGCTACACAATGTGTTCAAGGCCAGCCTGAACTATGTAGATAGACCTTGTTTCAAAAATCAAACAAAATGAGGCCATGTGCATATTTCTTTAATTGCACAAAATTTCTTCAGAAATGCATATATGTTTAGTATCTAGAATTTGACAATTAAATATTTGAAATATCTCAGTACCTAAAATGTAGGTAATATTGACATTATACCAGGAGTGACATTATCTAATGTATAACAATTATTTTCCATGCTCAAATTCATAAAATTGTATGAAATTGTATATAGGTATTGATTATAGATACATGCAAAAAAATCTGTGTGTATAGTTGAGAGCCAAGTGCAGAATATTTAATTATATATTATGTTTTCAAAAGACTGTTTTCTTATCAAACAAATTATGTAAGTAACACTATATGTATTTAAATGTGGTATATACATTCAGTATTTGCAACATTGGTAACCTTGAGGAACAATTCAAAATCCAAATGAATGCCCCTGTTTTCATTATAGCTGTTTTCAAGCAATCCTCAAAAGCATTTAGTGTATTTATTTTCTGAAAAACAGCATTAGCAAACATCTTCCCATAATGTTGTTGGGAATGTCATTGTATATAGATAGTATATGGAAATGTGTATCGAGCTTCCTCAAAAAAAAGGAAATTCCATTTTATCCAGTGATACTTCTTTTGGGTGTATTCCCAAAGTTAATATTGTACTGATATGCCAGGAATTTAGCTCAGTGGAACCACCACCTGCCTTGCAAGCACAAGGTCCCTAGTTCAATCCCCAGTTCAAAAAAAAAAAAAAAAAATGACACTGATACATGCATGTCCTTGTTTGTAGCAGTAAAACGTCTAAAAGCCCAGCTCTGAAAAGAGCCTCAGTGCTCATTCACAGATGAGTAGAAAGGAAAAATGTGGTAGCCTGGGCAGGATGGAGCATATTGGGAAACTGATGCACTTTCATGCTCAGCCTGGACAACTTAATGGTTGATGAGACTCAGTCTCATAATAAAAGATAAATAACTCTGAGAATGTAGCTCAGTGCTAAAACCCTGGGATCAGTTGCCAGCGCTGAAAATGCTATGTTGTGTATATACAATGGGATGGTATTCTTCCATAAAGGACAATGAAAAGAAATCATTTATCAAGAAATGCATGGATCTGAACCCATATCACATTAAATAAGGTGAACACAGAAAGTTCAATATCATGTGTTGTACTTTGTATGAAAAATGCAGAATATAAATTAAGAAGTAAAATAAAGAAGAGATGATAGAAAAACATGCCAATAATTTGAAGAGGGTGAAGAAGCTCAGTGGCAGGGGAAGGATATAGTCATGGAGGAAAATGGTATGAAAAATAATCAACATATGTATCATATAATCAAAATGAAAGAAGTTAAATGAATACCAATTTAGAGAAAGCTGTTTCCAAGCCATCATCCAGCTTGTACAGTAAATTCATGATTAAATATGCCTAGATGGCATCAAATTAGATCCCCTGGTAAACCATTAATATAAAGATACTTAAATGTGACTGCTTTTGGTTTTTTGTTTGTTTTTTGGGCGGGGTACCAAGGATCAAGCTCAGGACCTTGCTTTTGCAAGGCAGGCGTGATGCCACTGTTTTAAATCCCTGGCCGATGACTGCTTGTTTTGTTTTGTTTTGTTTTTGTTGTTTTCTTTCACAGAAGTGCAGATGCAGATAAATGCTGGCAAGATAAATTATGGTATCAACTTGGAGAAATGGTTTGTGTGACTTCTGGGCCAAATGTGCCTGTGAAATTGCTTGGTATAAAACCAGGTGAAAGCCTTGTATGTGGAAAGCCTCTGATTGGTCCTTCATCACCAACTGTGCCCATGACACATAATACTGGTCTCAAATCATATGATCTTTGTGGATTTAAACAGAAGCTGTCTAAATATTACAGACATGGGAAAGCTTCCACTGATTTTCAATCCTTTCAGAAACATGAAAAGACAAATCCTGAAGAAAACCCTTACAGATATGAGCAATGTGAAAAGTCCTACTCTGATGGTGCTGAAGGAAATAATACTAAAGAGAAATCCTTTGTATATAAACAAGATATAAAAGCCTTCAGTATTGCCAACTCTGTTCAAATCCAGGAAAGAAGTCACAGTAGCACGAATACCTATGTATGTATACAGTGTGGAAAAGAATTGAATTCTCACTATGATATCCAGAAACATGAAAGTGCTCACTCTAGAACAAAATCATATATAAATAATCACAGTCAGAAATCATTAAATAACACTTCACTTAGTAATCACGAAAGACTTCACATTAGGCAAAAGCTCTATGTGTGTAAGCAATGTGGGAAAGGTTTCAGCACACACAGTTATTGTCAAAAACATGAAAAATCTCACACTGGGGAAAAACCCTATGTATGTAAGCAATGTGGGAAAGCTTTCATCACACAGAATCATTGTCAAGCACATGAACAGACTCACACTGGGGAGAAACCTTATGTATGTAAGCAGTGTGGGAAAGCTTTCAGCACACACAGTTACAGTCAGATACATGAAAGGACTCACACTGGGGAGAAACCCTACATATGTAAGCAATGTGGGAAAGCTTTCAGCACACGCAGTTATTGTCAGATCCATGAAAAAACTCACACTACAGAGAAACCCTATGTATGTAAGCAGTGTGGGAAAGCTTTTAAGACACAGAGGCATTGTAAAATACATGAAAGTACTCACACTGAGGAGAAACCCTATGTATGTAAGCAGTGTGGGAAAGCTTTCAGCACACTTAATTATTGTCAAAGACATGAACAAACTCACATTGGGGAGAAACCATATGTATGTAAGCAATGTGGGAAAGCTTTCAGGATGCAGAGTTATTGTAATATACATGAAAAGACTCACACTGGGGAGAAACCATATGTATGTAAGCAATGTGGGAAAGCTTTCAGGACACAGAAACAATGTAAAGTACATGGAAAGATTCACACTGGGGAGAAACCATACGTATGTAAGCAATGTGGAAAAGCTTTTAGCAGACACATTTATTGTAAAATACATGAAAGAACTCACACAGGGGAAAAACCCTATGTATGTAACAAATGTGGGAAAGCTTTCAGCACCCATGGTGAACATAAAGTACACGAAAGAATTCACACTGGGGAAAAACCCTATATATGTAAGCAGTGTGGGAAAGCTTTCAGGACACAAAGCAATCATAAAATACACCAAAGAAGTCACACAGGGGAGAAACCCTATGTATGTGAGCAATGTGGGAAAGGTTTCAGGACACAAGGTCATCGTAAAATACATGAAAGGACTCACACTGGGGAGAAACCCTATACATGTAAGCAATGTGGGAGAGCTTTCATCACACACAATGAATGTAAAATACATGAAAGAAGTCACACTGGGGAGAAACCCTATGTATGTAAGCAATGTGGGAAAGCTTTCAGCATGCACAGTCTATGTAAAATACATGAAAGAATTCATACTGGTGAGAAACCTTATGTATGTAAGCAGTGTGGGAAAGCTTTCAGCACACAAGGTGATTGTCAGAAACATGAAAGGATTCACACTGGGGAGAAACCCTATGTATGTAAGCAATGTGGGAAAGCCTTTGGGAGACAGAGTCATCGTAAAACACATGAAAAGATTCACAGTGGGGAGAAACCCTATGTGTGTAAGCAATGTGGGAATGCTTTCAGCACACAAAATTCATGTCAGAGACATGAAAGGACTCACACTGGAGAGAAGCCCTATGTATGTAAGAAATGTGGGAAAGCTTTTACCAGACACAGTTGTTGTCAAAAACATGAAAGTACACACTCTGGGGAGAAGCTCTCTGTATGAAAGCATTGTGGTACAACTTTCAACACAAAAGGATTGTCAACTGTATGAAGGAAATCACATAGTATTTGTAAATAATGTGGAAAAGCATTCAGTTACTGTAGTAATCATCAGAGACATTTAAAAATTAAGAGGAAATTAACTTTGAATATATGAAGTAACAAACTGACAAACTGCAGAGAAATCCTTTGTGTGCAATATGAAAATTTCAGTACATGTATATTACACATCTGAAATAATTCATAGGACATAAAATCTGAACATATGTGAACAGTGGGAAATTTTTATTTTTCTCAGTGTATTCAACTTCATTAAAATTCACAGTGAGAAGTATACAAGAAGTATGGCAAACTTCTATTTTTCCACTTACTCTGAGTAACTTGAAAGCACTCCCACTGAAGAGACAGCCTATGTAAATAATGTATTAAAGCTTTTTATGATTCTCATGAGAAAACGTGTATAAACTAAAAATGAGGTTTAATATAAATACCAAATGTGAGAAAGCCAAGAACCAGTGACAGAGACAGAGGTGTGTTAGGCAGGAGATACACTGTTTAAAGCACATATACAGAGACAGTCTTCCTCCAATATATCTATGGATTAATATGCTGGTGAGGTTGGAAAGGGCATGTTAAATTCAGAACAATAAAGCACCTTGCATCCAAGTCTTCACTACGTGGCCTTTAAGCAACATTTTACATTAAAACCATGACCTTTGTGGTATATGTAAAGGGAAGTTTATTCATACAATAAAACTAATGCATCTTAAAATCCTTCATTTGTGACAGTAGAGATTAATCAAGCGGTCATTATGTGGAATGTGCCATGCATAGACAAAGCCTAATCATATTTGCTCTTAGCATCTAAAATTCACAACTAATGAAGCAGTTTAGCAGTTACCTCCAAAGTACTGAATGGCATAGATCCCTTCGTAACTACAGTGATGAATGCAGTGCCACATAGCATTACAATTTGCTAGAAGTTGTTAATGTTTTCTTCATATACTGAAAAGGTGATTGTGTTATGTGATACAAATTCTACCAAGTCAGTATGCTGTAATTTCACAATATAAACTGTAAAAAACTGCACTGTACATTTTCAATATATCATTTTATTATTTTTTTGTGTAATGAATACAATTAAATTCAGCAAATTAACAGGACTGTGGTTTCATTATGCATGCACAAAATGTCTCCAATTTTTACAAATGTAATTTAATTCAGACTGTTTTTTAAAGTATTCAATATTTGTCCAAAGGTTGTGGGGTATTATTAAACTGAAATTATTCAGTATTTTAGTGAAATTTATACTTGGTTCATTGGAAGTGTAGATTTTTGAGGATATAATTTGGAAACAAATGGCATTATGAATCCATTTCATCAGATTTTGATAAAGTTATGATACTTGTGTTGAGAGAACTTTGTGCATTTTAAAAGAACTAACCATTATGTATAGATACCATATTTTCTTCATTCGTTAGTTGATATATATGAGGACACAGTATCAGGAGGCCAAGGATGGGTAAAGGGACATAAAAGGATACGACATCATCTACTAGTTACTCCAATGAAAAAAATATATGTTACAAACATGAGCTAAATGATGATATTAATAATTGATGGTGATGATGAAATAGGGAAAGGAGATCTGGAGCCAGAGGGAGGATGGTGAGTGAGGAAGGGAAGAGAAATAACACTCAATGTTCAATACATATTCCTGCTAAGATGAATGTTGACATGTACTTCAAATATGTATCAATTAAAACCAACTTTTTAAATACTTAAATATTTAGAGAGATTTTTCTACTTAGAAATACTATTTAGAGATACTTTTTCTGCTTCCTAAAGATTTCATTAATAGATGTGTTAAAAATGTGTGTAAAGATGCCTCTGGGAAACAACTTTCATGCTGCAGGTTTTTTTAGTTTTGAATTCCATGTAAACCTTTATCTTTGTCATAGGCACCAACTAACTATACTGACACTGCCTCATTGCAAAGACTTCCATTGGTTACGCATGGTAGTGATTATGTGATTTTCTGAGGGGAACGAAGAAAGTGTACATATGCACTGGGACGTGTGCATCTCACAGGTTGCATTAGCAAATGGAAACATATTTTTATTGCTATTTTCATCCTACCATGGCAGTTGGTATACCGTACCATTCATCAAAATGTATTTATAAACCCTGTCTTAGTGCAGTGTAGCTGGCCTAACCATAGGGTCTTTCACTTTATGAAATAATTATTTCTCACAGTTGTGAAGCCTAGGAAATCCAATATCAAAGCCCTGGAAATTTAAATATCTAATGAGGCATTGTTTACATATGGTGACTTCTAGCTGAGTTTTTACCAGACAGAGATGTGGAGATATCTTTGGTTTTTTTTTTACATGTATATATGTCATTATTGAGTACTCAACTCATGACACATAATTTGCAGAGACCCCACCTCCTCCTCTAGTACCTTGGGAATTAGGTTCTAAAACATGTATTTTGGGGTAACAGCATTCAGAACACAAAAGTTATTAAATGAGGTTAAATTGTGGGTTAAGTAGTATAGTGGATTGCATGAGGCTTCGTGTGTCCTTTGTGATATAAAAATTTCAGTACACATGTATTAATTACACACCTGAAATAATTCATAGTATGTATGTATGTATGTATGTATGTATATATATGTATGTATGTATATCATGGTATATATATATATATATCATAGTATATATAGTACATATATTCATACTATGTATATAGTATGAATATATATATATGTGTGTGTA